GCGCGCCGCGCGCCGCGAACACTTCGCCGGGCGTGGGGGAAGGGGATATCTTCGAGGCTTGAGGGTCGAGGGTCCTTTCCTTGGAGGATCGGATCGACATGGGCACGGAAAAAAAGAGTATAGAAGTGGGCACTCCAGACCCCCTCGAGTCATGAAGAGATCAAGATCACGACGGGCAGTTGTTCGCTACGTTCGGCCTCTGGGGGCCTTCGCCGAGACCTGGGGCCGCCCCAAAAAAACGACTCGGGATGAAACACCAATCCGGGGGGAAGGGCTCGAGACCGCGGGGGGGTCGACGTTGTGAAAAGGATCATGACGTCGGGGGGTTGGAAGCGGGTGCGGAAAGGAAGAAACAACGGCATACCTATATGACAACCTTTCGGGTGATAAGGAGGTTGTGGGGGGGGAGAGTGGAGGGAACCAACATCTTGCTCAATCGATCTCACTATCGATCTCACTCAACGGGACACCACGGGACACTTTTCGATCTCAGTATCGATCTCACCCAACGGGACACCACGGGACACCTCTCGATCTCATTATCGGTCTCACGATCGATCTCACTCAACGGGACACCATAGACACCTCGGAACACCACATCGATCTCACTATCGATCTCACTCCACGGGACACCACGGGACACTTGTGGATCTCACTATCGATCTCATTATCGGTCTCACTTTTTGGGACACCACGGGACACCTCGGGGCACCACATCGATCTCAGTATCGATCTCATTATCGATCTCACTCAACGGGACACCACGGGACACTTGTCGATCTCACTATCGATCTCACTTTCTGGGACACCACGGGACACCTCGGGGCACCACGTCGATCTCATTATCGATCTCACGTTTGATCTCACTATCGATCTCACTATCGATCTCACTGTCGATCTCATTCAACGGGACACCGCGAGCCACCGCCGGACGGACGGACGGACGGGCGGGCGGGGGAGAATCATTTGTCTTGACTTCGCCCTAGCAACGGCAGACACCACGGGACACCACGGGACACCGTGGGACACCGCCGGACGGGCTGGCGGGAGGGGGAGAATCATTTGTCTTGACTTCGCCCTAGCAACGGCGGGTTCATTCCTCTCGCGCGCCCACGCAGCTTCGCCTCGCCCGCACGCATGACACGAACGAAACGAAACGATGTCCCGGCTGGGGGTCTCCGTTCCACTGCGATCTCACCCCCCAACCTCCGAAACATAAACTTTCGACGGTCCGCGCGGATTTCTTGGATCTGCGTTGGATCCCCGCCCTGGCGCGCGGAGCGTGACGAGGTGGCGCCAGAAGGGGCTTTTCGCAGATCCAAGAAATCCGTGCGGACCGTCGAAAGTTTGTGTCTAAGCCTTTCTGTCGCCTGCTTATCCCCCAGCTGGCCTTCGTTCGATATTCGAAGATCGGGGACTTCGGAGGCAACTCCTGGGAGGTCAAATTCTGACTTTCCCCTGGTCCGAAATCCGGCTTAATCCCGCTTAATCCGGCTTAATCTGGCTTGATCCCGGTACATCCGTGGCCTAATCTGGCGTAGCAGCCCCCTCAGTGGGGCTGAATTTTCTTTTAAATTTTTCCGACGAAGACCTCCCAGCACAGTTACGTTTTTTATACATGCTCCGCGTGCGGATCATGAATTAAACATGCAGGGATGGAGTATTAAGAACAAGGATGAGTTCGCGCACACATTTGTGCATAAATTGACCATGGATTGGAAATCCAATGTTTTTTTTTCCTGTTCTTATGTCTATATATATATACATATATATATATGCATATATATATATATATATATATATATATATATATATTCATATTCATATATAACAACTATGTATTAAAAACTGCCTTGTAATCTTTCCGACGAAGACCTCTCAGTAGTTGCCTCCCAGGGGGGCCCACGGATGCTGGACGCCTCGGCCGCAGCCGAGCCCCCGCGGGCCTCCGAGGGCGCCCCGGAGGAGCCGGCAGTCCTGCGGAGGCCCATCGAGGCCCCTTTTCTGGGTGTCGAGAGCTCGGCTCCCAGGAGGAGGAGGGAGGAGGAGGGGGAGGAGGAGGAGGAGGAGGAGGAGAGGAGGAGGAGGAAGAGGAGGAGGAGTAGGAGGAGGAGGGGGAGTAGGAGGAGGAGGAGGAGGAGGAGGAGGAGGAGGAGGAGGAGGAGGAGGGGGAGGACGATGGGGTTATTTATGTCGGGCGTGTCCCCCAACGGGGCTTCTCGACGAAGCATTGAACATACCCCCCAAAAATGTTCCAAGAAGGCAGAAAAATATTCAAAACAGAGTCCCCAGACTATTTGTTGATCATCTTTGGGCTATTTTTTTATCTTCCCTCGAAAATCCCCCTCTAGGGGGACAGGCCCGACGTAAGGATGGGGGGGGTAGGACGATCAAACTCAGGAGGGGAAGAAGCACACAGACACAATGAATCGTCGACTCCCCCGAAAATATAGGAAAATATGGGAAGCGGGGGGGAAGACGAAAGCCCAGAAAATGCAGGAAAATATTGGGAATCCTGGGATTTGTGTGTATCTATTTGTGTGTGTCTTTGTGCCCCTTCAAGAACAGTTTCTTTAAACGCACTGGGCCAGAACAGGGCTGGACCTAAACGGCGTTCTTGGCGATTTCGTGGGCCGTTTTCGTTTCGACTTCGTTTAGTGGTAAAGGCGGAGTCGAGACAAAAGCGAGGGAGAACGAAAACAAAACGGAAACGAAAAGCACCGTTTAGGTTCAGCCCCGGGCCGGAGCATGGGTAGGACGATAAAACTCAGGAAGGAAAGAAACACACAGACACAATGAATCGTCGACTCCCCCGAAAATATGGGAAAACATGGGAAGTGGGGGGGAAGACGAAAGCCCAGACAAAATGTTTGAAAATAGGGGGATCCTAGGATTTGTGTGTGTATCTATTTGTGTGTCCCGGGGCTCCTTTGAAAACAGTTCCTTGAAACGCACCAGGCCAGAGCAGGGACCACCACCGTTGTGGACTGCACAGAAGTGGCAGCGCAGCTCGCACAAGGAGAAGCCTCTGCACCTCGCCCGCGCTCGCAGATGCATATTTTTTCTCTCGGGTTACGATGTTCCAACCTATCTTGGCCATGATCACCAGAAAGAGTTCCTAGCCCCCAAAAAGTGCCGAAACTCGAGGGTTCTCACACGTCGGGCCCTGGGAGACACTCGTCCGATACTCTTTCGACACTCTTTCGACACGTTTCCGGGTGCTCGAAAATGTGTCTGGGATGTGGTCCTTAAGCACAATGGGAACAACATGACTCTCGAGCTCGTGTTGGGAAGTTGGGAGATAGGACCCTCGGTGAGGGCATCGATCCAGGCTGACTATCGGGGGCGGCAAAGAGGGGGGTAATGACTAGGGCGGTGGATATCAAGGCGGGGGCCGTGATATTTCCCCAGAATTCATGGCGCCTCGTCTTATTTCATTACGTCCCTGGCCCCCCCGCTGGGCCGCGCACATGCCGCCGGTCATGATTTGCACCCCCCCCTCCTGGACACCCCCCTCTTGGCCGCTCCCGAAACTAGTAGTTTAAGACGTGCGAGCTGGAAACCCACTGCCTCTTTTCTGCGCGCCACGTTCGCCGCACGTGGTGCGCACCCTTGTGCTCGAGCTTCTCGCACACCCAGCCCGTTCCTATCGCCTCGTTACCCTTTCCTAGGAAATGGAAGAAAACGTGCCCTCTCCTCATCTTTCCTCTTTCCTCGGAGAGGAAGCTTCTTGCACACTCGTTCCATTCCTATCACATCGTTCCCCTCTCCTAGGCAATGGAAGAACACATGGCCGGTGCCTTGTCGAAACCGCCAATGTGGCAGAACCTTGCGGTCAGAGCTCGGCTAAGGTATCGGACTATGTGTTTCCTCAGCCGATGCAGAAGCCCTTCGGGGAACACGTAGGAGAAAAACAGACAAGTACAACTTGAGAACATTCGCCATGTCGCCTGTATGCTTCAAATCGTAGCAAGCAAGTATCAGCCGAGCCATGCCGCCAATTCGCATCACATCGAGCCAAGCAAGTACCGCTCAAGCCACAGCATGTACATGGAACAAGTGGTACCAAACAAGTACACGTCGGTCGTTGAAAGTAGGTAGTTTTGGATTCCCATATCCCAATCTACTTCCAGCGCCTTCCTACTTGAAGAATCGATATGCTTTTGATGTGTTTTTCATTATCTGGGAGGGCCTGAACCCAACCTACTTTTCCTGCTTCAGGTGTTTACCTACTTCTTCCGACCGACGTGTACCCGCGGAGGCATGTCTTACGTCAGTCCGCGGCCTCCCAGGGAGCAGCGAGGTCCCACGAGAGTGGCGACGGCTGCGCAGTTCGCAGCCTCCCAGGGAGCAGGGCAGGAGGAGGCAGGATAACGGGAGGGCGCGAGGAGAGTCGGAGGTGATGATGATGATGCTTGATGATGATGATGATGAAGATGATGATGATGATGATGATGATGATGATGATGATGATGATGATGATGATGATGATGATGATGATGATGATGATGATGATGATGATGTGATGATGATGCTTTCGCTGCAAATGCTATACCGAAGTACTGGGCAGTGACGTGTGCGAGCTCGGCGGGGACTTCGCGCGACCCCCGCTGTACCCTCGCTGCGCTGAGCGGGTTCGAGCCTGAGGGCCACGGAACAAACAATGTCACAATGTTGTTGTTGCGCAGAATGAGTTTTCTTTGAGCTTTAAAACCGCCAGCCTACCCCATCCAACCTCCAAAAACCGGACTGTGTTGTAAGTAGCGCTCGTCGCGCAAAACGTTCAGGGCGACAAGCCTCGTCAACAAGTGACGGTCTCCCAGCTGGCTCTCAGATTGTACCCTGACATCCCAGACCACCTGGCACTGAGGCGGCCCAAGATCGCAGTGATGTTCGCGTTGTGCCACACGCGGAAGAATGAAAGCACTACATGCATCACCCTTGCCTGCTGTGGCCCTACAAAGTCTGACTGTTGGACAGAACTAGCTGTAGGACTATTA